TTCCTCAGTTCCTACCACCCTTTCCTACCTAGAAACATTATTTTTGTCACCACAGAAGACATTTGTCAAAATTTTTCTTTCATATGAGTTTAATTCTGTAGCATGTGTTATATATTCGAATGTGCTCCTTTTGTTCAAAGAAATGCTTTATATGTTCATTTTGTGTTTCTGAATATATCATAGCTTTTAACTATTCAATTGTATTTTATAAGGGTTTAATAACATTTATTAATCCATACTTACTTTGATAGACATCTGTGGGTTCTAGTTTTTTTTGTTTTTTTTTTTACTTTCATTAATAAGATAAAACACTTGTTTATGAGCCTTTTGGTGAATATATGTTTTTATATTTTATTTCTCTTAGGCAAAAACAGCCAAGAGTGGAGCTGTTTGACGCTGAGGTAGATGGTAATTAAACTGCCAGCTGTCCCCTTCATCCGTGCTCAGGAGACTTCCACTCCTCTGTGTCTCTGATCTTGGTGTAGTCTGGACACAAGTCTTGATACATGAGTACTCAGTCTTTTACCCCAGTCTTCCTTATTTGTTTTTTTAGTGATGTTTGTTGATGAGCTGAAAGTTTTGAGATTTGGCAAAGTTCAGTTTATCAGTTTTGTGCTATGTAGTGTACATTTCTGCTTATTTTAATGTGATTTATGCCTGTCCCAGGGGACAGAAATAATCCTTTGTGTTTCCTTTGAGAAGCTTGATGGTTCTGTTGTTTTGTTGTGGCTATTTGCCTGTCTGTGTTTTTATGTTTTGTGTTTCTGGAGATTAAATTTAGGGCCTTGTACATGCTTAGCAAGCGCTCTACCTCTGAACTGCATCCTCAGCCCTTGGTTTTCTGCTAGAGGGTCTCCCTGTGAAGTCTGTGCCATCCTGCAGCTTGTGATTCTCTGCCCTTTGCCTGCCATGGACTGGAATCACAGGGGCATTGCCACCATGCCCAGCTGGCTCTGTGTTTTATGTTTATGTCTCTGACTCATCCTGAATCACTTTTTGTGTTAAGAACAAGATAGTGATTGAAGCTATGTTTTCCATGTGGATATCTACCCATTTTAAAAACCATTCAATGTATAAAAACAGCTATGTAAAAACAGCAATGTAAAAAAACAGTTTGGATTTTGAATGTTCCTTGGAGGCCCATATGTTGATGCCTAGGTCCCCAGTTTGTGCTCTTGGGTAATGGTAGAACCTGTAGGAGGTGGGACTTCGTGGAAAAAGTAAGGTCTTTGGTGCATGTGCTTGAAGGATATACTGGAACTCTGGCCCATTGCCTTTTGGCCATCAAGGGATAAAGAAACCTCACTTGCCACATGCTCAGGCCATCATATAATTTGCTACTACAGGCCCAAAGCAATAGGTGCAGCTGACCATGGACTGCAATCTCCAAAACAGTGAGCCAAAACAAACCTTGCCTCCGTATAAGATGCTTTTTCTCAGGGGTTTGTTACAGTAACAGAAAGCTGACAGAAATACTTACCTTTCTTGGATGTATTACTGCACCTTTGCAGAGCAATTGACCATATGTGTGGTCTATTTCTAGATTCTTTATTCTGTTCTACTGATCTCTTTGTATCACAGTATGAGTCCAAGACTACAGTCTTAGTTACTATAATGTACCAGTATAGGAAAAGTGGACATGGATCTTCCATCCATGAACATATTAAGTAATAATTACAGGAGCTAAGGATTTGAATTGGATATATTTGGTTGCCATTACAGCCTATCACAGGCAATATTATTCTTTTTTAGACTTTTTGTTTTGTTCTGGAATTGCTGTCAAAAAAGTGAGGTTTTCAGCACCCCCGTGACATATTTTCCTTCTTTCTATAATTCCCATATTTTCTTTTTATCACACTTTTATTGTTTGTGTGTGCATGTACACACATGCTCATGCCACCCATTCCACTGTTCTCTCCTTCTACCATATGAGTCCTGGGGTTGAACTTAGTTTATTAGGCTTGGGTATGTACCTGAGATGTACAACTGGGTCATATGATAACTGGAACTCTTAGGTTTTGGAGGCACCTCCTCTCTGACTTCACCAATGGCTGCCCCAGTTTGTTTTCACCAGCTGTGAATAAGCGTTCTTCTTTCTCCACATCATCACCAGTACTTGTTATTACTCATTTTTGTGTTGACCGTCAATCTGACTGGGGTGAGGCGGAATCTGTTTTTCGTTTACAGATGGCTAATGATGTGAACTCTCTGGAGAATAGCTATTGGCCATTTGTATTCTCTTCTTTTGAGAACTGTCTATTAATCTGGAATCCCATTTGTTGGGTTTTTGGTGTTTAATTTTTATGGTTCTTTCTGTAGTCTAGTTTGTAATAAGCTGTGTGATTAGAGTTGGTATTTTGCATTTGCAGGCTGTCTTTTTATTTAGGTGATCATCTTCTTTGCTGTGTAGAAGCTTAACTGCCTGGAGTCCCATCTGCCAGTTCTTGGGCTTATTGTCATTTTTAATGGACTTTATCCATAATTAACTGACTGCTGTAGAATCATGTTGAATTCTAGTAGTACAAGCCTCAGAAGGGAAGCTACTTATTTCCGTAATAATCAGGAAAATACCAAGTTAGAAGAAGATTGGAGCACATTTTGACTATTGTAGAACTCATAATAAAAGTTAATAGTACCTCTCAGTTTAGAGCAGCCAAAACTAGTTCCTGGTTTTGTAGAATTTTCTTCATGAGATTGGTACATGAACAGGTCTATCAAGTAGATTTTCTCTAATAGTTTGTTAGAAGTTACCTAGCTTTTAATCTGCACTGCTCTTCCTCTAAAAGCTTTGAATGATGCTTCTAGGACATTATTTAATACTTATAATATGCTGAGATTAAATGTTTCCACATGTAAATTTTTTAAAATTTCTTCTTGGTTTTTGAAGTGGGGTCTTACTATTTATGTAGTCCAGTCTAGTCTTGAATTCACCATGGATCTCCAGGTGGCCTCGAATTCACTATGTAGCCCAAGCTGACCTCTAACTTGTGTCAATCCATCTACTTGAGCTTCTCTGAGAACTGAAATTGAAAATTGGAGCCACCATGCCTGGCTTTGAAATTTGTCTTATGGATATTACACACAGTGACTTTGATTATAGTGAGCTTTGTTGTGCACATTGTTAAAGGAATGCATTAGCTAGAGAGCTGTAATGCATCTTGGCTTTGGAATTTGCCTTGACTATCACAAACTTTGGGATATGGGAATAATGTTTATGAGCAACATTAGCAAGCCCTGGAAGTAGAAGATGAAGCAGTAAAGACTTCCTTTTTGTGGTTGTAGTTTTTGTTTGTTTGTTTGTTTCTCACGACAGGGTTTCTCTGTGTAGCCTTGTGTGTCCTGGAACTCACTCTGTAGACCAGGCTGCCCTGGAACTCACAGAAATCCACTTGCCTTTGCCTGCCAAGTGCTAGGATTAAAGGCATGTACCACCATTGCCAACAAAACTTCCTTTCTGTTTCTCAGTTATTATAGCAGTTAGTTTAGGTATCTAACTGCTAATAACTGATGAATTTGATAAAAAGAGAAAAGTTTGCTAAAGTAGAAACTTAATTCTCCTTGTTGGCCCCAGCATGCATGATGTTTACTAGTTCTTTTGTTTAACCAAGTAGCAGAATCCCTTTGTCTCTACTGATAAGGATCAGCAGCAGTGTGGGGCAGGTTACCATGACAATGCATCCATTGTTAAAGCCCACAGTTTAAAATTATTAAATATACATACCTCCTGAATTCAATGGGAATTAAAGCTATCTAGCTTCATGTTACCATGATTTGCTATGCAAATTTGAGTTTAGCAACTTGAATGAAAAGTGAGGGTACTTGTAAGATCTTGTACTCTTTTGGTGTTAGTAAGGAAGTCAGTGGAAGAATCTGCTAGTGCCATTACTTGGTGAGCTTGCCATATCCATGTATCATGAAATATAGGCATGGTTATTTGCCTGTTTTATTGAAATGACTTGAAAAAGAAAACAAGACAGTTGCTGGGTTTGTCTTTGATATGTAAATGTGTTCTGTAGTATGTTTGGTAACTAGTACTCACTGGTTGAGAGACTATAGATAGTGCTATCAGAGGGCTTTTTCACATTGACTTGGGAGTGACAAAGGTACCCAGCTGAGCATCTTCATTGTCGCTCGCATATCATTCTAAGTGAAATGTCCTCAATTAATCTCTCTTCATTTGTTTGTTGAGAGACATGTTAGACATCACAGAGACAAGAGGACTAAAGAGAAGGACTGAAGAGGTAGGGTAAGTGAGGTTCCCAGCAGCCCACAGTGCAGTTAACATGTCCCAGTTATGAGTTGGGCAGAAGTTCCTGGTTTTGGCCAAATAGTATAGATATTAAAAACATTACTAAAAATTTCTTAGAGTTAGAAAGCTCATATGAGAAAGATACTTACTGAATTTATATTAAAATGTTTTGTTGAGTTCCTTACAAATGAGGCCTAGAAACTATGAAAACTTTAGGGCTGAGAAGAACATGAAAAGTCTTGTGTTTTTATCTTTGGATGTGTTGTAAGTTACAGCTGTATAATTTCATAATTAAACCATCTCTGTGCATTTTGAAATTTTATCCACGTTGAAATCTATTATATAAGGAAACCTTCATCCATGTGGTTTGTGCTCCTCCCTTCTCAGGTCCTGCTGCTCCGCACGTACCGCTTTCTATTTGTGTTCGTCACCTTTCCGTAGGTAAATTGTCCATGAGACCAGTGATTCCATGAGCAAATTATCCAGAAAATGCTGTCTTTGCACGTTGTGACAGATCATGTCACTGGTGGCTCTGCAGCTACTGCAGCGGTCTAATTAACCTGGCAGTTGTCTCCTGTGCCCAGCACTGCTCTCCCATTGCCTTGGCACCTTAGTTTCCATCTTCTGGTACCTTCTGAACTGAAGCTCGGGTTGATGATTGTTTTGTTTTGTTTTGTTTGTTTGTTTGTTTGTTTGTTTTTCAAACCTACCCCACTCAACTCTCTTCACTGCCCTTATTTTTGATTGGCAGTATCATCCAGATAAACAAAGTACAGATGTACCAGCAGGAACCATGGATGAACGTACACAGAAGTTCATTGAAATTGATCAGGCATGGAAAATTCTAGGGAATGAAGAAACCAAAAAAATGTATGACCTGCAGCGGCATGGTAGGTACTTGTGGTGAGGGAGCGAGCCATGGGCAATCCTTTGAATGGCAGTGTGCAAGCCACACCTGGGGAACATTTCCCAGCGTTCGCATCAAGTTATTGCCACCGTTACTCCTCAGCCCATCATTGTTTTTAATTCTGTCCTATTCTTAGTAGTCATTATTGTGTATCTGTTGAGAAATTAACAAAACTACTAAGGTGTAGTTTCTTGTAAGCCTTGAAAGGTGCTTTCTATAAACTACTAAAAGGTTCAGTTTACACCCCAGGTTAATATGCATTATATGCTTAAAACTACTTGTTACTAAACTTAGTTATATATGCATTACAATCTTAAGTGTGGTATTTGGAAGACTGTAGCTATGATCATCTACAAGAAGCTGTTACTCAGGTTAGCTCCTATGAAACTCGGCTGGCTGTGCCCTTTGTTTTAAGGTAGGTTTCATGATTAGCTACTCTTTATGAGACTGCTGTCAATGGTGCCTTAGGAATGCACATTGCTTAAATAATTTCAAAGGTCATTTCTTTTTGCCTTTTGAAAATAGCTCCTAACAACAGTGACAAGCTGTTGGGAGAAAGAAAGAAAAATGTAGGTCAGGTTTGTCACACATGAACTGTATTACACGAAGTGATAGGCTGTCTTTCAGCACTGGCCTTGGGACAGGAGTCCCTCAGCCTTATATTTGGACTTTCAATAAGCACCATACATGCTAATATGGGGGGCCAATAGTCGGTTCCAGCCTGTGGGGAAACGCTCAGTTGCTTCTCCCCAATAGTGCACTAGGCTCAGCACTGAGCTGTGACAGAATCTCATGGTCGCTGGTTGATTAGTGAGCCCCCTCCCATGCCCACACCGGCACACTATCCACCTCACTAAACGAATTTTAAGGCTTCTGCTACTAAGATTATGAAAAGTTGATCTGAGAAACAAGGCTTTGTTTCTAAATGTAGCATCACAGGACACAGCCAGTATTTGTAGAAATCCATAGCACTGGGGGAAGCTGTGCCACGGAAAATGTGTGTTTCTTTCTCAGTTTGTCATACCCTTGTGGCATTGGATTTTTCTCATTTCTGTTTTTTGACAGTCTTTCTTTGTAGTCTAGGCTGGTCTCAAACTCCCCATGTGCCCAGGCTGGCCTTAGATTTGCAGCAGTTCTCCTGACTGTTTGCTGAGTGCGGGGATTACAGGCATGCGCCGCCGCCATGCTCGCTCTAGCGTTTGTTGTAATACTATTTAGTGTTATTACTAATCATATCTGGTCTTTTCTACTTTTTAAAAGACCAGTGTTTGATTTTGTTTTTGTTTTTTACTATTAGGTCCTGGTGAGTTTTCCTTTTTAAGGGATTTGTATTGATTTTCAAATGTACCTTAAATATCTGGTCTTCTTTTTGGTATTTGTATATCTTCAATAAAATTACTTCTGATAGAAAGAATGTAGAGGTACCTTCATTTGAGAACAAATTCTATCCAGAGGTCCATCCTTATAAACAGGGTTCACATGATAAGCTTCTATGACTGTATTGAAGCTAATACATTTAAGTATGATGTAACATCGAATGTGAGCTGGTCCAGCTTCATAAAGTCACAGAGTGCTGTTGGTGATGAGAGTTCTCTAATTCATTTCTTCATGTTTTTGTCATTCTTTACTAATGTGGGATACCAGTTTGCTTAAGAAGAATCCACACAAAACTGTATCCTAAGGAGTGTAGGACAGGGACTGGAGAGAAGATTCAGGAGTTAAGAGCACTGGCTGCTCTTCCAGAGTACCTGGGTTCAAGTCCCAGTACCCATATAGCAGCTCATAACCATCTATAAGTCCAGGCCTAGAGGATCCAATGTCCTCTTCTGGGCTCTGTGGGTACCAGGCATTCGTAATTTCATATGTCTAAAATAAAACCAAGCGTGTAGGGCATGTGTGTTTAGTGTCTGCATTTTTGCCATTGGAGCCTGTATACGATAAAGATTATGTGAGTGAGACTAGCTAGAAGTCTACTTTCCAAAGGGTAAGAAGAGAGCAAAAATTCTGAAGTACTGTCTTTTTCTGTAGCATGCAGTAGGGTAAACCCTCAAATGGAAAGAACTAGGAAACAGGTTTAAAATGAGTGCAGAATTGCACAAAGGGAGGTTTAAAAGACATTGTAAGTGCAAATGGTTAATAGAGCCTGAAGTTCCTAGAATTACACATTTCTTTTGCGCCTTGACTGTGCAGTTTTAAGCTTTTAATAACTTAGCATCTGTACCCTACAGTATCATAGGGGACTTTTGTAGGTAATTGATGAGATCACAATAAAGTTTAAAAAAAATGTAATTCAGATAGATAGCCCTGAACTTATATGTCAGTTTGCCTTGCCATTTCTTCAGGTGGGTGATTACTAAATTTAGCTGTTTTAGGGCAGTAGACATACAGCTCTTAATGATTTCTGAGTTCCTCATATGTAACATAAAGTATGTTCTTCATCAGAGGTTCTGAATGTGAACTTTAAGTGGCCACTGGCCTGCTGTTGAGAGCTCTCGTATCCAAATGTGACTTGCTATATTTAAACCTTTTATTCCAGAGCTGTTTTTTAAAACTCTCATGATAAACCTGATTTGAATACTGATATTAATTTCTTTTTATTCATCAATATGTAGCTTTTCAGAAACAAATGAAATGAACTCAAATCTCTAGCAGGATTTAGATTTGATATAAGGAAAACTTTTGGGGGTACTAATTTGATCAGTATAGGATAGTAAGAGGGAGAATTGTTAAAACCAGGTCAGAGCACTCAGTTTTTCTGGGTCACCCCTGGGGACACGGAAATAGATTCGGTAGTGCAGAACTCTTTGCATGTGGTGATGGTTATTATAGAACTTTCTTTTTGCAGTGTTAAGTATGTTTATTGCCTACCTGTCATTGACTTGCAGCATAAGCTTAAGCTGTTCTTTCTTCATTGGCTGATGTTCAATGCTTTTCCTTATCTCCTAGCTCAGAGTGGTACTCTATTTTAAAAAGATTCTCATCAATATTGCCACAGCCATAGATGTATCCAGAAGCTAATTTAAAGGACCCTTGGCATCCATATTTCTTTACTTCTCAAAAGAAACTACTGAAGGGGTTATTTATAGTGAAAAAATGTGATAGTAGAGCAATAGCCTTAAATAAAACATATTTTCTCCTCCTTTCCATGTCTGTATTCTTGGCATTTTAGGGCAGAGCTGGTCAGGCAAAGGAAAACAAGCCTAAGGAGATGAGTAATATTGGGTTCCCAGAGATCATACATTTTGAAAGTGATGGTAACTAGTGAAATTAACCAATTAGTTCCAGTTGGCATATTTACCATGCTGTTGTTAAAGATGCCTCTAAAGCTGCTCGCAGCATTCCCCTGGAAAGCATGTAGTTATCGAAGAACAGGCTTTGCATTTCAACCAGAGGCACACTTGGAGAACTCTTTCAAGATGTGTAAAATGTTCATGCAAACAATGCTATAAATTGTTCTTTATAAATCTTATGGGGAAGTTTTCTCATATATTAAACACATTAAAATAAACAACAGAAGTATCTCATTGGAGCTTTGTAATGTTCTGTCACACAGATCTCAGTGGCTTGAGAGAATGGCATACCTGAGTTATTTCTCTGTTATCTGAAGAGGAAAACTTACAAATGCAGTTGATCAGATGAAGTAATGCTTAAAAAATAAGTTAATTGTGTTTGGAAACCCTGTTGATACCTTATATTGAAGTCCATCCTGTTCTCTGGTAGTTTGGGTAACTGTTTTGGTAATGGGATGCCTTCATTCTTCCAATGCACATGTACCTAGATGCCTGTACAGCCTGCTCTTTGCTAGATACAGCAAGTCATTTCTGATGTTTTATTATACAGTTTACTTCATTTCTTTATTAGGATAGCTATTTGAAAATGGAAGAAAAGGAAATAAATCTACTAATAAAGGATGAATCTTTAAACTCCACAAATATTAATGTATTAGATCATTAAATTTTAAGTATAAAATTGGAATTCTTTCTGAAAAGGGCTTTAAGTTTAAGATGGATTATAAGAAATGGAGAGATGTGCTCTTAAATATAAATAATATAAGTTTGGGCTGCTAGTACTAATAACTTGGGGCCAGTAGAAAATTGTGTAAATTATGTCCTAAAGCTGACCCTTACAAAATACGTAAATTAGTCAGATTAGGAGTTCAGTTTGATTTTAGGAATTTCAAAATTGACTGTAAAAATTTGCTTCAGGTAAAAACCTGTAGATAAGCATCAAGAGGTTGTTTTTTTGCTGACTGTTTCTGGGAAAAAATAAGTATGTGAAATGATGCAGAAAATCCATTTAGACAGTTGAGACTGGCATCTTAAGAAGGATAGGAGAGCATAGACAAACTTTCCACGAGGGTCCTACCTTATCTTATTTGTCATTCAGAATATTTTACTTCCAAGTGAATGAAAATAACTGTTTTTACCTTGTAAAGTATTTTAAAAGTATTTGTTAATAATTTTGAATAAAAATCAAGCAGTTACAAATAATTAAAAGCCTGTTGGCAAAAATATAGCTGTAATTCTGGTGTGAGTGAACACTATTGGAGAGTCTGATTTTATAAGACTGATGTGGGGGGTTTTAGGAGTACTTTCTTTCAACTTTAGCCGTTCTCCCAAGTTCTGTTTGATTACTTGACTCAGCTGAAGTTGGTGGGTTCAAAACCCAGAGCAGTTAGTTGCCTTTTTCATTGTTTAGTTTCTTCCTCAGACTTGAGCTGGACTTGCTTGGCTTCCCACCAATGGATCAGAAAGGTCAGGTGGCATTTCTTCTTTGTATAGTGTTCCTTTTTCCTATGTATTCATTTCTTCTTCACAGTTAACTTCCTCACACTGTAGCTCACAGCCTGATCACCTCCACAATACTATGCCTTTCCATTCTGTGCTGCTGGATTCTCCCACAGGCCATGACATTTTAGTTGATACAGCTTTTTTTTTTTTTTCGTCTGTATTTAAGAACTTTTATAATCCCCCCCAGGACAGC